TATTTAAATATGAATACGGACACAATATCTTGACTGTGCTTTGAAAATAAAACCATTACATACATACAACAATCTATTTCTTGTTAACAGTTAATATATTTCAACCTTGAAAATGGCTAAATATATAGCCGAAAGCGCTCGGAAAAAAAGAACAATTGGACAGTTTTAACATAGTTTATCTATGGAAAAGAAAAAAAATATACGATAGACAATTTTTTTAATTAAAATATTTGTAAGTTAAAGACAAACACAAAGAGATCCCGCTTTGCTGTTTCGTTCAGTTGATTCTAGAGTAATTATTTATGAGAAATTGTATAAAAAACTAAATCAAAGCACCTTGTCTGTCATATTCAATGAAACATGCATATAATATAATATAATATAATATAATATGTGTGTATCTGAGCATGTTACCCGTAAAAAAATTATCAGATTATTTACGTATTGATCGGCAATCCTGCTAACGATCGTATCTGTATACACTGGCTCGCAACTTTGTCGCTTCTTGGCTATTTGCCTGTAACAGTGCGTCGTATACATACATTTTTTGTTCTGCACGCAATGCCTCAAAGTATTTAATTAACTGAATAAACATTGAAATTTTATATATATATATATATATATATATATATATATATAATTGCAATGTTTATTTAGTTAATATATATACAAAAGTGGACATGAGCTTTATACAGTCTCATTCATACTCGAGCGCAATCTTCAGGCCATGTTTTGTTTTGCTCGACTACTTATATATGCTGGTCAATGATGTATTATCCTAACGGTTAGTGAGCAAGCAGTAACGGTTATCATTCAAATTATTTTCGAGGCTAGTGAGTAGAAACAGTTGTGAATCCAAATGCGGTTATATTTATAGAATGTTGCTGATGACAGTGTCCATTTTATATTTATATATATCCGTCTCTAAGATTGTGCATTTTACCAATTCTATATATATATATATATATATATATATATATATATATATATATATATATATATATGTGTGTGTTTGACCTTTTTTTTATAACTTTTAAAATTATTTTTTTGGATACATATATTTGAGAAGACATTACCTTTATTTATTTATTGAACACTATATTAATTTATTTTCGTCTACCGACCTGAATATTCAAAAAGTTTTATTAAAGAAAAACATGCCCCCCCCCTCCTGGCAGAATTCGAACCTGGCAGAAAGAACACTCAGACTCGGCTACGAAGAACCTTTGCCGATCAAACAAGGCTGAAATCTCGAAACTTCATATCTGCTCAGTTTCGTATCCAGATATAAAGCAATTTCTAAAGATGTAATTTTTTAATTTAGCTTTTATTTATTTTAATAAATAAACGGAACGTTTTCTCACTAAAATATTCTTTAAAGTGATTTATATATATATATATTTATCCACTTCTTCATACATTTCTGTTCTTGATATATATATATATATATATATATATATATATATATATATATATATTCAGTATATATATATATATATATATATATATATATATATATATATATATATATATATATATATATATATATATATATATATATATATATATATCCATGACAGGATTTTACGTCCCCGTCTCGTTTAGTGGTTGCTTTGAAATATTTCATGCAAGAAAAACAGACTATCATTATTGTTTCGTCCGTGTATTAGTTGATATATTGAAAAGTAATCTTTGTTAATGGATTATGTAAACCAGAAGCTTAGATTGGATTTAAACATGTATGAATATGGTGATTTCCTTTCATCTTTCAATTAATATGAGAATGTTATTAAGCTTATCAGACAATATGAAAAGGAACTTACTTAAAATAAATAGACAAAACTTGTCTATATTATTTAATGAAACATGCATCAATATATATATATATATATATATATATATATATATATATATATTCATACGTTTTCATTAAATAATATAGACAAATGTTGTCTATTTATTTTATGTAAATTTTTTCATAACGTTTGATAAGTTTAATAACATTGTCTATATTATTTAATGAAACGTGTCGTATATGAAAAGATGCTTTTAAATACACAATTTAAATTTATATATATATATATATATATATATATATATATATATATATATATATATTAGTAGGCGTCCGTTTATCTCGATAACGTCCTGTTTTAAACTTTAATTTTACAAAAAATACATCAAATGCATTGGTTGTCGAATGTAACTGACCCAAATTTTTTCTTGCATAAAAAAATTATGTTTTCAAAGGAGAAAACAATTTATGACAACGAAAATGTTTTGTAAATGGTTAGAGAGTGCTTTGATCGCAAGGTCATCCACAGTAAATTTGCACTCTGGCTCATACAACATTTCATCATTCCTGGCAGAACTTCTATTATCACAGTGTGATATATCTACTAAGAAAAGTGATGGAAAGAAAAAGAAAAAGAATCTAAATGAAATCGGCTATATTATATATAAAAAAATTAAAATTAAAAAGTCACAGCGTCCTTCGTTCGTGCGCATGTGTAGTCACACCAACATAACAAATTTAATGGGACAAAAGTCAAAACACTTCACACGAAAAAGGATTTGCATAATTCTTCATACATTTCTGTTTTTTATATATATATATATATATATATATATATATATATATATATATATATATATATATGTGTGTGTGTGTGTGTGTGTGTGTGTGTGTGTGTGTTTGTTTTCTTTTTATTTTAGCCAAAATACGGAGAAACGATTCTGGTCGGCATGCATTGACAGAAAACCTAAAAAATAGCAAAGTCAGAAGCCTTAATCTCTAATATCAAATGCAAGGCACAGTGAAGAGATGACATGCCAGTTATTCATATACCTTTTTATTATTGCCAATATCAAAATGGTAGTATAGTCAGTCTATGTTAGGATTATAGAACATCGCACTTAACTGTTTAAAAAGCAAAAGTTGATAAGGTAGATAACTCTTTTGAGACACTCTTTAATTTGTCTTCTCGCCAAACATTTCTCACTTTCGATTGAGAAGTATTCTTCATGAATTCAAGGAATTTTATAAAGGAATCTCTGTATTAAAATCTTTGCATTGGAAAGTGACTTTGCTGTAAGTAAGTAGTAGTCTATTCAGATAAGATAGGTTCACTACGGTTTTTGAAGAGTTTTTATAGATTGATTGAGTAATTCGTTTTTCTACGGCTTAGGTTATTTAAATCCAGAAAATAATTTTAGGTGGTATAATTTTTTTTTTATATAATAATGATTTAGTGATAAAGTCTTACCCATAGATGGAGAGGATAGTTGGATTCATACCTTTTCCAAGGTTATTTTAGTGAATATAACGAACCCAACAAGAATTGGAACTCGGCACTTCGATTAACATTTCCGAGCCATTATCCATTACAATTCCTGCACATCCAAGCTTACACCACCTGGTATTCCTAAGCAATCATATCTCTAGGTACCGATCAGACTTGACGTCGCTTAGCTTCGGTGATCATATGGGGACCGCTGTTTCAACGTGATATGACCGTAAACCTGTTCCACTTCTCGCATATCGAAACTTACAGAACCTGGTATTCCCATCTAGGTACTGACCAGTCTCAACTTTGCTTAACTTCGGTGATAACGTAACGTATTTTCTCGGACAAAAATCTTATTCTAGTAAAAGCCTATATTTGCATTTTTGTAACGTGTGTTTACACACACACACACACACACACACACACACACACACACACACACACACACACACACACACACACACACACATATATATATATAGTTGTCTGTTTATTCTATTAAGGGTGATTAAATCGTCATTTATGTACCGTGTTTCTTCAGGACGTTGGTGATTATGGCTCTCCACAACTTTCTTTGTAGTTTTAAGTAACGTTTGACTCCCCTTTTTCTTTTTACCCGCCCTTTCCTTCAATACGTTCTGTGAATATCAAGTTTTCCAAGCCGTCCTTTCTCATAATGTGCGCCAGAAATTTCAATTGTCTTTTTCTAATTTTAAAATAACTATCCTTCTAATTCTAATTTTCCTTAGAACTTCCTCGTTGCTTATATGTTCTTTCCATGGCATGCTTAGCATCCGTCTGTAGAACCACATATCTCTTACATCGAATCTCATTTTCATCTGTGAAGAAGAACTCAAGCCATTCAAAATGACAGATATGACGTTGCAGTTCAGCACACGTTTCTTTGTTCATAACGAACTTTTTCTATGTCTTAATACTTCATTCAGTTTCTGGAAGGATCTTTCGCTATTCTCTTCGGATCTCTGTGTCACAATTCTCGTAATAGTGAAGCGCCCATGAGGATTGAAATTTGCCATCAATTAGTTTGCTAAACGAGCTTGTTCGCCATTTGTCTATCAGACAAAAGTTCTCAGCGCACTTTTCAAAAAGTAAAAAACTGATTGCGTATTTGAAACGTTTTTTTTTAGCCTTACATACTTAACATTAAGCTAAACTTAGCCTGTCACAAGACCATAACTGTAGGTCACTCGGTAAGGATCGAACTCAATTGTTGTGCTCATTGGCCATTACTTTGTGGAGAGACGCTGGCACAAGGATCTAACTTGTCAGCGAGTCGAGTCTTTTAATCATCCTGCCACAGTAGGCGCCCATTAAATGTGATTATGTGCATGTCTTTGTAAGTGGAATAGGATTAGTTGTTCCTTAATTCAGAAAATGTGTTCATTGTTTCCCTAATAATAATAATTTGATTATGGTTTTATTTTAAAAAAATCTCTTCCATTCAATGGAATTCGTCTTAGAAAGAAAGAGAAAAGATTCCTTAAAAGGAATGTAGAGCGGAAAAACAACATTAATGAAAGTATTTTAATGACCATTAATTAAAGTATACGAGAAAATTAATCAAATTAATTATTCTATTTCCATTCATACTCGTTTCATTGCTCATTGACATTTTTAAAAATATTTTTATATTGAAAGAATTATATTGAGTTATTTAGGCAAATTCTCAAGAATTGTTCTTTCTTTTTTTAGTTTTTTTTAATTTTGTTTGTTATTTTCTCTTTACTCTTTTCGCTTTTTCTCTACTCTCCTTCATTTGCTCATATCTTTTTTGCTATTTTCTTTTTTTTCTCAGCTCTTTTCTCTTTGCTCATATCTTTTTGTTTTGCCTCTTTTGTTTTTTCTCTGCTCTTTTCTCTTTGCTTATCTTTTTGCATTTTTCTATTTTCGCTTTTTCTCTACGTTCTTCCCTCTACCCATGTCTTTTTGCTATTTTCTCTTTTTCTCAGCTCTTTTCCCTTTGCCCATGTCTTTTTGCTATTTTCTCTTTTTCTCAGCTCTTTTCCCTTTGCCCATGTCTTTTTGCTATTTTCTCTTTTTCTCAGCTCTTTTCCCTTTGCCCATGTCTTTTTGCTATTTTCTCTTTTTCTCAGCTCTTTTCCCTTTGCCCATGTCTTTTTTCTATTTTCTCTTTTTCTCAGCTCTTTTCCCTTTGCCCATGTCTTTTTGCTATTTTCTCTTTTTCTCAGCTCTTTTCCCTCTACCCATGTCTTTTTGCTATTTTCTCTTTTTCTCAGCTCTTTTCCCTTTGCTCATATCTATTTGCTATTTTCTCTTTTTCTCACCTCTTTTCCCTTTGCTCATATCTTTTTTCGCCTATTTTCTCTTTTCTCAGCTCTTTTTCCTTTGCCCATGTCTTTTTTCCGCCATATTTTCTTTTTCTCAGCTCTTTTCCCTTTGCCCATGTCTTTTTCTATTTTCTTTTTCTCAGCTTTTTTTTTGCCCATTTTTTTTATTTCTTTTTTCAGCTATTTTTTTTGCCCATGTCTTTTGCTATTTTCTTTTCAGCTCTTTTCCCTTTGCCCATGTCTTTTTGCTATTTTTCTTTTTTCTCAGCTCTTTTTTGCTATGTTTTTTGCTATTTTCTTTTTTTCAGCTCTTTTCCTTTGCCCATGTCTTTTTTGCTATTTTTTTTTTTCAGCTCTTTTTTCTTTGCCCATGTCTTTTGCTATTTTCTTTTTCTCAGCTCTTTTTCTTTGCTCTGTCTTTTTTATTATTTTCTTTTTCTCAGCTCTTTTTCTTTGCCCATGTCTTTTGCTATTTTCTCTTTTCTCAGCTCTTTTCCCTTTGCCCATGTCTTTTTTTATATTTTTTTTTTTCTCAGCTCTTTTCCCTTTGCTCATATCTTTTTGCCTTTTTTCTCTTTTTTTCAGCTCTTTTTTCTTTGCCCATTTCTTTTTTTATTTTCTCTTTTCTCAGCTCTTTTTCCTTTGCCCATGTCTTTTTGCTTTTTCTTTTTCTCAGCTCTTTTTTGCCCATGTCTTTTTTTTTTTCTTTTTCAGCTCTTTTCCCTTTGCCCATTTTTTTATTTTTTTTTTCTCAGCTCTTTTCCCTTTGCCCATGTCTTTTTGCTATTTTCTCTTTTTCTCAGCTCTTTTCCCTTTGCTCATATCTTTTTGCTATTTTCTCTTTTTCTCAGCTCTTTTCCCTTTGCTCATATCTTTTTGCTATTTTCTCTTTTTCTCAGCTCTTTTCCCTTTGCCCATGTCTTTTTGCTATTTTCTCTTTTTCTCAGCTCTTTCCCTTTGCCCATGTCTTTTTTCCTATTTTCTTTTTTCTCAGTTCTTTTCCCTTTGCCCATGTCTTTTTATTATTTTCTCTTTTTCTCAGCTCTTTTTCCTTTGCTCATATCTTTTTGCTATTTTCTTTTTTTTAAGCTCTTTTCCCTTTGCCCATGTCTTTTTTATTTTTTCTTTTTTCTCAGCTCTTTTCCCTTTGCCCATGTTTTTTTTGCTATTTTCTCTTTTTCTCAGCTCTTTTCCCTTTTCCCATGTCTTTTGCTATTTTCTTTTTTCTCAGCTCTTTTCCCTTTGCCCATGTCTTTTTTGCTATTTTCTTTTTCTCAGCCCTTTTCCCTTCATCTTTTTGCTATTTTCTCTTTTTTCTCAGCTCTTTTCCACACTCATTATTTGCCATTTTCTTTTTTTTCCCTGCCCTTTGCTCATATCTTTTTGCTATTTTCTCTTTTTTTTCAGCTCTTTTCCCTTTTGCTTATGTCTTTTTTGCTATTTTCTCTTTTTCTCAGCTCTTTTCCCTTTGCTCCATGTCTTTTTTATATTTTCTCTTTTCTCAGCTCTTTTTCCCTTTTGCCCATGTCTTTTTTGCTATTTTCTTTTTTTCTCAGCTCTTTTCCCCTTTGCTCCATGTCTTTTTGCTATTTTCTTTTTTCTCAGCTCTTTTTCCTTTGCCCATGTCTTTTTTGCTATTTTCTTTTTTCTCAGCTCTTTTCCCTTTGCCCATGTCTTTTTTTTATATTTTCTCTTTTCTCAGCTCTTTTCCCTTTGTCCATGTCTTTTTTGCTATTTTCTCTTTTTCTCAGCTCTTTCCCTTTGCCCATGTCTTTTTGCTATTTTCTCTTTTTCTCAGCTCTTTTTTCTTTGCTCATGTCTTTTTGCTATTTTCTTTTCTCAGCTCTTTTCCTTTGCCCATGTCTTTTTTTGCTATTTTCTCTTTTTCTCAGCTCTTTTCCCTTTGCCCATGTCTTTTTGCTATTTTCTCTTTTTCTCAGCTCTTTTCCCTTTGCCCATGTCTTTTTGCTATTTTCTCTTTTTCTCAGCTCTTTTCCCTTTGCTCATATCTTTTTGCCTTTTTCTCTTTTTTTCAGCTCTTTTCCCTTTGCCCATTTCTTTTTGCTATTTTCTCTTTTTCTCAGCTCTTTTCCCTTTGCCCATGTCTTTTTGCTATTTTCTCAAACCTCTCAGCTCTTTTCCCTTGTCTTGGTCTTTTATTAAATTTTCTTTTTTCTCAGCTCTTTTCCCTTTTGCCCATTTCTTTTTGCTATTTTTAGTTTTCCCATCAGCCATTTTCGCTTTGCTCATATCTTTTTATTTTCTTTTTTTCAGCTCTTTTCGCTTTGCTCATATCTTTTTGCTATTTTCTCTTTTCTCAGCTCTTTTTCCCTTTGTTCATGTATGAATTGCTATTTTCTCTTTTCTCAGCTCTTTTTCTTTGCCCATGTCTTTTTTTATATTTTTTCTTTTTCTCAGAAACTTTCCCTTTGCCCATGTCTTTTTGCTATTTTCTTTTTTCAGCTCTTTTCCCTTTGCCCATGTCTTTTGCTATTTTCTCTTTTTTTCAGCTCTTTTCCCTTTGCTCATATCTTTTTGCTATTTTCTCTTTTTCTCAGCTCTTTTCGCTTTGCTCATATCTTTTTGCTATTTTCTCTTTTTCACAGCTCTTTTCCCTTTGCTCATATTTTTTGCTATTTTCTCTTTTTCTCAGCACTTTTCCCTTTGCTCATATTTTTTTGCTATTTCCTCTTTTTCTCAGCACTTTTCCCTTTGCTAATATCTTTTTGCTATTTTCTCTCCTGCATTTTCTCTGGTGTTTTCTCTATGGTTATCTTTTTGCAATTTTCTCTTTTCGATTTTTCTCTGCTCTTTTTTCTTTGCTCATATCTTTTTGCTATTTTTCTTTTCGCTTTTTCCAAGCATTTTTCTTTTTGCTAATATCCTTTTGTTTTTTTCTCTTTTCGCTTTTTTCTCTTCGTTCTGTGCTCTTTTCTCTGTTGTTTGCTCATCGTTCATTTCTTTTACTGCCTTTCTTTTTGCTTTATCTCTTTGTCTTTTTCACTGCTATTTTCTCTTTGCTCACATCATTTTGCATTTTTATCTTTTTGCTTTTCCTTTGCTCTTTTCACTTTTCTCTCATCTTTTTGAATTTTTCTCTTTATGCATTTTCTTTGTTCTTTTCTCTTTGCTGATACCTCTTTGCATTTTTCTCTTTTTGCATTTTCTTTGCTCTTTTCTCTTTGCTGATACCTCTTTGCATTTGTATCTTTCCGATTTTTCTTTTTCTTCTATGCTCTTTTCTCTGTTGTTTTTCTCTTCGCTCTTCGTGGTTTTCGTTTTGCTCTTTTCTCTTTGCTTTTTTTTCTCCTTGTCATATCTTTTTACCTATTTCTCTTTTTTCTCTTTCTTCTTTGCCTTTTAATCTTTGCTTTTTCACTTGACTCGTTTCTCTGCTCTTTTCTTTTGGGAATTACGCTTTGTTTTCTTTCTTTTTCTATTTGTTCATTTTTTTTTCCTTCTCACTTTGGTCTTTTTTCTTTGTCCCTAAAGGAATAACATAAGTTCTCTGGAAACAGAAAACTACTCGTAAAAAACATTTTAAAATCATTTAAAGACATAAAATATGCAAACAGTATTACTCTATCAAAGCCCATATGTTAACTAAAAAAAAAAAAAACAAAAAAAATATAAAAACAAAAAAACAAAAAAAAAACAAAACAAAAAAAAAAAACAGACTAAAACATGTCAAAAATAAAACGGGGGATAAAAATAAACTTACAAAACACCCAAAAACGCTGTAACTTTGCCTAGAGAAAACATTAGCGATAATTAACTTTTTCGAACAAGACAAACTCCTAAAGGAAAGATCGGAAGATATTTTCAACTGTAGACACGAAAAAAATTCCTTCTAAGCTACCTACAACCACGAAATTACCAAAAAGACTAAATAAAATCCCATAACGCAGTTCTAATAAAGTTAATTCTTAATGCAAAACCAGAGAAACAAAGTAATATGCACGAAAGAGAAATATAGAAACAAATAAATAAATAAATAATATGAATTAATAAAATAATAACTTATAAATAAATATATAAGTCAACAATCAAGAGGTCAGGGGGCAAAATAAACCTATTTACGCACATAAGTAAACTTACATGCACACTTCTTCCATTTACCTAACCAGCATAAATAAAGACTCTAGAGATCATGACCATAAATAACACTCAGCATTATCTAAAAAAAAAAAAAACTAGGAAGACCCGATTTTATCTTCCCTTCATTTCCCTAGACCCCTTATTGACCAGTATACGCAACCCGTTATATATATATATATATATATATATATATATATATATAACTCGCCAAAGGAGTAGTGAAATTTTGTCTGAAGATCACATTGACACGTGAAACTGACAATTACCATAAATGTTCATTCCTATGAAAACACCATCTATATTTACAAACACCCTATCTCCAATGTTGAAAAATCTTCTATGAGTATAGCAATTTTTACATACAACTAAAGACTTTCGCCATAAATAAACTCCCACCTCTTGTCAATCAACCCAGACTCCTTATCAAAACGAGACGTCTTCTCAAGTAGCCCCGTACGTTCCCCCCGACTTCTATCTAACTAAATTAAAAACTCCTATTCCGAGACAGTCACTCTAGGGCCGAGGACTGGCGTATAGCTGTGAGGTAATTTTGGATTATTTATTGTATAAAATATATGCTCTGTTATAATAAATACATTGAGCTCTCTCTGTGGGTCAGTTTTAATATCTGGTATTATTACGATCCACCTAGATTATATACCAACGATATATATAAAACTAAACAGTGAGCGTCGACAGTTTCATGCTTGAACGCAACCTTCAGGCCATGTGTGTTGTGTGTTCGCTCGACTTTTTATATATGCTAGTCAATGGTTCATCCTGTGTAGCGAGGTCTATTGTAGTAACCTAACGGTTATTGGGTAGGCGGTAACGATTATGTTTCAGATTATTTTAGAGGCTATTGACTAGAAATAATTGTGGCCCCGAATATGATTATTTGTAGCCATTATATAGTGTTGCTTGTTAACTTTTTACTCCTTATTTATTTAAAGAAAAGAGAAAAGGGAAATCACAGCCCTCTGTAGGATCAGGTTGAAATGATAGACAAAGAACATCATTGGAAAAATCTTAAACTTAAGGAATCAGCACATATGCTAGGCCACAAAAATCTCCTGAACCTACCAAGCATAGAAATAAATACAATATGGGAACCAGTAATAAGGAGTGCCAGAGAAAAGCGATAATAACAACGAAAATTGCAATATGAGCTCTGGTAAAAAAAATGAAATGATAATAGCAGAAATTGCAAAATGAACACTGGTAAAAACTGGTTGCTGAAGACATTAGATTTATAATACCCAGAAATTCATACACAGATGTCCTCAAGGACACATGGCACAGTGGATAAAGGCGTTAGTTAGATCCAGTGACAGGACCCAAATAGTGTGAGTTCAATACTTGATTAAAGGCAGTGGAGAACTTGGAGAGCAGAATTAACAGGAGATAACTAACATCCATTAGACATGGCACGTGGAACTAGAACAGTCTACCCCAGCGACCGAAATAAAGGGTCCAGTTCAACATTCCAACCACCTGAAGAAGGCCGAAGCGTACAACGGCCGAAACGTTGTGATAAATATGGCGACAAAGATGAGGACAACAGTCCAAATATTGTAAATAGTGTACATAACACCTCGTATCAGTAATATAGAGAGATAATGAAAAAAGAATCATAACAATTCAACAATAACATTTTTAAAAGATTATTCCGGAGCGTTTGATTATCGACACGCATTTTATAATCTGAAAATAAGATAATATTTTTATTAAAAAAAAGTAACCAAAACAGCAATTTTTATTAACAAATAACTCGCCTACAAAAACGCCTGATAATTATGCACCAAACCAATATATTAATATCATTTTATTTGAATTAGATCCCTTATTTTTTAAATTAGGATATATACATATATAGATTTTTATTTATTAATCCAGCAAGTTTTATAGTTAAGAAGGTTGACATGTAACTAGTAACTTAACATGGACTCGATTACGTTTTCTTTACATTGATAATACTCACCTGATTAGATGACCAGCTCCAGACATTGTATTCTTTATAATCTCTGTTAAACAAGTCCTGCTAGGTATTTTGTTAATGTTATTGTTAGTATGTTTGATGATCGTACTTTGATCTCCGGTTATTCTAGGTATAACCGCAGTTTTAACCGGTCACATTTGTTAAATTTCAGTTTCAAGTACCATATATTTACTTATTTTACCATCCTTAACAGATGTCATATTTATGAAAAGGTTTTTTTTTTAACGTGTCAACATTAACATGAACGGGAATTCACTGGAGAAAGTGTCCAGTTTTAAATGCTTGGGATCAATAAAAGATGCTACCTACAACTTGGAAATCCGCACACGGATTGCTGCAGCCATGGCAGCGATGGCCAAATTGGCAAGAATATGGAAGAGCAAAAACAGCTTTCAAATGAAGTACAGACTGTACAAATCACTGGTAGTCTCTATTTTCCTATATGGATATGAATCGTGGACACAGTTGGTAGAAACAGAGAGAAGGATCCAAGAGTTTGAGAACAAATGCATCGGAAAACTCCTTGGCATTTTCTATTGGGAACATAAAACTAATGAGTTTGTGCGGAAAAGGGTTGAAAATTTTGTGGGCCACCAGGAAACTTCTCGCCACTGTCAAACGGAGAAAAATGGCGTAGTTTGGACATATAAGGCGCAACAGCCCGTGCAAGACCATCATGCAAGGTATCGTTGAAGGTGGACGTAAGGGAGGACGTCAACGCAAAAACTGGTTGGACAATGTCAAACAAAGGACAAGTATGACTATACCAGAATTGCTGATGGCTGCCGTTGATAGACCGTTGTAGAGGAGATTCAATATGGCTTCTGCATTCGGATCCCCCAACCTACGATTACAAAAGTCAAGAAGATGATGATGATGATGATGATGATGATGATGAATTTTGTTTGTAGTCTTTAATTACAATTTCTGGTTTATTATTTTGTTTTCCCGCAGTAGATCACTTGCCATCCAAGGCTATAGAACCCAGTCTGTCCTGCTATTTACCTGTATTTGCGGTGGGTTTAAGAAGAGGAATCATACCTTTCCCAAGGGTATTAGAACGTAAGTGAATGTAATGGATTTGACTGAAATTCGAACTCGACTCTCCGATACCTCAATCTGAGACGCTAAATACTTTCCTCAAAAAGTCACACGGCGTTAATGGGATTGACATTCTCTTCCTGTCTTCTAAATAATCTTGCCATCTTAACTTTCAAATCAGAATAGTTTTTAATTTTCTCAATCTCCTTGTTTGATGTTGTTATTATTATTATTATTATTATCATCATTATTATTATTATTATTATCAAATTATTATTATTATCATCATCATCATTATTATTATTATCATCATTATTATTATTATTATTATCATCATTATTATTATCATCATCATCATTATTATTATTGTTATTATCATTATTAATATTATTATTATTATTATCATTATTATTATTATTATTATCATCATCACTATTATTATTATTATCATCATCATCATTATTATTATTATTATTATTATTACATTATTATTATTTAGCTTAATTTTTGCAGTACTTTTCTTTGTATTTATGTCGATTGTTTTAAAATTTCTGTTCAGTTCCTTTTATTTCGGTCAAGATTTTATCAGGATTTCTTTTTATTATTCGCCATTAAAAATCGTGATGTGTTTGGCCGTTCTGCTAACCAGAACAAACCACTTCAGTTTTTATCACAGAGAATGCAGCTGACATTTCCAGTTTTAAAACCATTTCAAAGTGTTACGGAAGTCGATTCGACGAGTTACGATTAATCATTTTGGTTGATGTGATTGATTGTAAGCGACCTTAATTTACCTCGCCAGAAACATTAAATTACTAATCTGATTTCACTCCTTCTAGATCGTTTCTTTGAGCAGCCCAGTGAGAAAGGGCTATAGCATTTTATACTTCATAGATAATGCTGATTTAACAAATACGCGCATGTTCCAATAGTGTTTGGATAAGAAACAATTTAGATTTTATTTTTTTTTAAATAGGATAACAGCGTGTGAAATCTTGGCATCTTACCTAAATTCGTGAATTCGAATTGTAGTTGGGTTCGTTACATTCCTTTACGTACAAATAACAAATCAATCAATCAATACCTAAGCTCGAATATTGACTATGGGATAGTGAGAGAAGAAATTTGTAACAATTTTAGTCTCTAAGCAAAAGAATTATCAGGAAAGCGTACATTCTACTCTTAAATATCGATATAATTAGACAAATATAGATATAGAAAAAGAG